ATGAGTAATGATACTTGTACCCAAACTTATTGAATAATCACATTTTATGATTTATCACTCCCTAACCATTCTTATTTAATATTATCCGGTTTAACAATTCTTGTTACTATGACCAAGATAGTAAACTAATACCCTTTGAATTTTTTTAAGATACATCAAAACAAATAATTACTGATTATTCTAAAATCCATATTTTTTTTCCATTATAACAATAATCTATAATTTGTAGTACAATATCCTCTCTAATCGTAGGTTGTCTTAAGTTCGATTTCCTTCCTTTCACAGTTCCAAGTGACGTGAACCAGCATTCTATATGAAAATCAATTAAATCGAATGACATACATCCACATATTATGGGGCATTTTAAAATTATTAAACAACATGTCATATCTCATTCATTATATAATAATGTTCTCAATCTACATCAATTCTGCTAGAGGCATTATGTCATTTCATAGAGTTTAGCATTAATAGACTTGTGTTTGGTAATAATCTTATGTTTTTCACATGTTTTTTAATTGTCCTATAATTGTACACATCAATGGTGGTCCATTACTCAGAATTCTATTATGCAATAAAATAAAAGTGATAAAATAACTTTAATCTTCAAACATGAAGGTCAAAAAGGCCACCGTTAATGTCTATTTGGGGATAATATGAAGAAGCCCTGTATACTTTGTGGGCACTTTACTTTTGGGTGATTGAATTTTTTTCCTTAATGCAACCCACACTCCCACTAAAAAATAATAAAATCTAAATTCAAAAAGAATCATCTTTATAGTCTTCTATAACTTCTTTTTCCGTTCAGGAAAAATAGTACAATCTTTATTCCCAAGTTGAGGAATTTTCATTTATCAAAGCTCATATCTTAGGACCAACACAAATGATGCAACAGTAAATTAATTTTTTGAGAAATCATTAATTCTTAATTTATGCAAACCAGTCATAAATGATTTACCAAAATACACAAAAGAGGTATTTTCAATAAATTTAACTTTTTTTCTAAATTTTGAAAATAACCATCAAGGTTAATTAAGTTTAGACAATCAATAAATAATTTTTTTTCCCCAAACAATAGAATGACATAATTTTTTTTGAACAAGGTCTAAATAATGATTAACGCCCAAAAAATAAAACATTAAAAACCCCAATAATTTCAATTAGAGTTTTAACCATAATTGGCTTGAAAAATAATCTTGCACCATATTAAAACAATGAGAAGCCTTTTTCTTCATTATGAGACTGAAAATCTTTAAGCAGACTGAGAGATTCTTTATGTTGGCTATTTCTTTTATGTCATTTTCTACGCATTCGTCCTTTTCTTTTCGGGCTCCTTGAATTACAAGATCAATAAATGATATCTCAATTACTTAAGTTTTGTCTCTTCTTAAATAAACATACTAGTCAATTTATTAACTTTCTACTTGCTATTCATAGAATTATTGTAGCAACCCTCACCTTACTCTTGTCATACTTGCATACGTTCATGCATGATTTTGTTTTGTTATGTTGTTTGAAAGTTTGCCTTGCCTTGTTTTGTTTAAGTGTTGCTTGCATGATTTTTGTTCTTTGCTCGGCGTTTAGCCGAGGTCATCTTGAGCTTATTTCACCTTTGAACCTTTGTGCTTAGAGCGGTTTTGAAACCCTTTGGTTGATCCCACCTTCACCTCGGGCTTGTTGCCGAGATGTTTTGCACTTAGTGATCCTTGTCCTTGGGCAGGTATGACCTAGACCGAGGTGTGGCACACCTCGGCCAAGGTGTGGCACAGCTTAGTCAAGTGTCGTCCTCCCTTTCCGATGTCTTTGTTACCCTGTTGCCGAAGCTTTGACTTCAGCCGATGTCATTACTTGCCGATGTGTCTTGCCCTAGCTTACTGCATACGCTTTGTCATAGACTTGTCTTATCAATCAATCACCTTTTGAGTTGAACCAACCCGATAGCGCCACACGTCCGAGCTGATTGTTAAGACAGCCGGCAGACCTGGAACCAAATCATTTTTGTCTCAAATCTTTGCCTTTAGAGAGAGAAGCTCTAGAGAGAAGGAGGAGAAGTTCTTGAGTGAGAATAGATCTTCCAAGCTTGATCTTCGAGGTTTGGACCGTTAGATTCGAGTTTTGAGGTTTGAATCTTGATCTACTTTGGTTGTTGTTATTGATCATCTAGCTGCATTGCATGATCGAATCTGTTTTACATGTCATGCATCGATTTGAAGTTGGTTTTGGAAGAGAAAAATGGTATTCATGTGTTTTTTTAAAGAAAAGTCTCGTTTTGATCCGAAAGTTGGAACAAGAACCATGTTTTTGTGTTTGTTCTTGCATGACCTTCTTGAATGGGTACCCAGGTCCATGTTTTGAACTCATGGCATGAAATCTCTGGTTTTTGTAGCAAGTTATGATCTTTGCATTCATCTTCCTCTTGATCTTGTTCTTCATGTTCTTCAAAGGGAAACCCAGGTTTCCCGACCTTGCTTTTGAATGAGGCCATCGGGACCACACCTCGGCAAGGAGGTGTAGGACCTCGGCAAAGACCTGGTTGGTACCCAGTGTGTTTCCATGAGACGGGAGCAGCGTTTAAACTCCCAGCATGTTTTGCTTTGTTACTGACTTGGATCTGGCGGGAATGTCGAGATCATTCGCATGCATGAAAAGCTTGTTTTGAGAATGTGATTGCCATGTGATTGTAGGTCCTTGATCTTTGCTTCGAGCCTACACCCGAGGAAATCTATGTGAGTGGTGCTTTTAATAAAGCTATGTTATACTGTTTTGATAAATCTTGCTTTGCTTTGTCTTGATAAAAGTATTTGTTAAGCATGAATGAATAGCCCTGTTTTGATGTATCAAGTATAAGCTTTGTTTTGATGTCATTCTTGAAAAGTCCCTTGTACTGGAGGACTATAAACTTTTCGCAGGTCACCAAGTATAAAAAGTCCCTTGTGCTCGAGGACTCTTTAAACTTTCGCAGCACTAAGCTAAAACGATACCGAGTCCTTTTCTTGGAAACTGACTATTGTGTTTAAAGCGGGCTACGGGCCCAAGTGACACAAGACGCATCGTGTTAAAAGGGCTACGGCTTAAGTACACAAGTCCTTGTGCTCGAGAGGACTATAAACTTTCGCAGTACCTTTGACTAATCGATTACGGATCGCACAGCCTTTGTTTTTGCCGCTGACGGTTTACCGCGTGGATCTGTTGTTCGGAAAGCTTGATTTGTGTTTTGCAGATGTTAGTAAGCATCCCTTGAGACTTGTAAGACTTAATAAGATGAATTACAGGTCATCGAAAGCTTGATTTGTGTTTTGCCGATGTCAGTAAGCATCCTTTGAGACTTGTAAGACCTTGATAGATGAATACGGTTCATCCTTTGTTTTGATAAAGTTTTGATGTGTTTTTTCTTTGAAAAGACCTCGGCTAAGATTCGTATGGTTTGGCATGTTTTGTTTTGAAGGATCTCGGCTATATTCATGCAAAACCTTTATTTCTAGTACCATTCACTGAGTATCCAAACTCACCCTCTCTATATATATGTAGGTGATGAGCAAGACGTTGGCGACGCCTAGACTGTGTTTTTGAAAGACTGTTTTGGATCCTTGATTTTTGACGGCTTTGTTTTGTATTCACGTCGGCGATGTCATTTCTATTACGTCGGCGAATCTTGAAAATCATGCTTCTTGGCTTGTATTCACTGTATTTTGTATATGTCGGCTCGAGAAGCCTTTTGATCAAGATGTAATACATATTTTACTTTATGGTATTCAAGTTGTAAAGATGTATGCCATATCATTGGACTTATGCACAGCTCTTATGGACTACTTGTATTTTGATTTATTGCTTCCGCATTTGTGAGCCTCTATATCCATACTCTGATTGTGTTAAACTTTTGAAAGTTGGCCTTCGGTAATTACGGATTACTGGCCATCACGGCACCAAACTACTAGGGGCGGTTTGGGGTCGTGACAGAATGGTATCAGAGCACAAGATCCTCAGTATACGTTATTCACACACTTTGAGTCCTAAAGAGCATAGGATTTCCCTTAGAAAGATGTTAGGATTTGCATCATGGTACTTGCTATTTGAACGAGGTGTGCATTGTCTTGACATGCCTATTTGTTACTTGCCTACGTGGTTATTTGCTTATTTGTTTTAAAGTCACACTTTGCATGCTCATAGCGTTATGAGGAGAGGTAGACCTCCAATTGGCCGAGATCGGCCCGAAGACAGAATGGACAGACTGGAGAGATTAGTTGAAGGTTTGGCCCGCGAGTTGAGGCGAACCAGGCAACAGTTCGCTTGTGCTGCGTCGACTCAGGCCAAGCAGACCAACGGTCGAAATGTAGTTCCACCCCCACCTCCTCCAGTGCCGCAAGTCCCTCCACAGCCAGCCTTATATGGGGATGGCATGATAGCTTTGATCAGGGAGTTCAAGAAAATGAAACCACCAAGATTCTCTAGGGGCATAGAGCCGATGAAGGCTGAGGCATGGGTTTTGGAAATGGAAAAGTTGTTCGAGATCTTTCCTAGCACCGACACTTAGAAGGTGACGTTAGCAGCATTCACGTTAGATGATGACGCTCGCAGATGGTGGGTGATGGTTCGAGAAAGTAATCCAGATTTGACCTGGACCCGATTCTTGGAGTTGTTTTACAATAAACACTTCCCCCTAAGTGTTCGAAACCGCAAGGCTACCGAATTTCAGACCTTGGCGCAAGGCAACCGAACAGTGGCGGAATACGACCGCACTTTTACTGAATTGGTGAGGTTTGCACCTCACATAGCCAACGATGAATACATGAAGGCTAGAAAGTTCGAGACTGGGCTTCGCAGACCGATTCAGGACAGGGTTAGCTTGCTCAATATGCCGACTTACGCCGAGGTGTTGGACAAAGCCATTTTGGCCGAAGCTAACTTAAACCGATACCAGAACTCGGGGGAGAACCAGCGGAAGAGACAGAACTATGACAATCGCCGAGCACAGCTCGGTACCAAGAAGAGGACGAACATGGGTAGTTCTAGTAACCTACGACAGGAAGGTAATGCTAAACCGACGTGTTCGGATTGTGGGAAGCAACATTTTGGGGTCTGTCGCCGGACATCTGGAGCCTGTTATGAATGTGGCGAAATAGGTCATTATGTGAGAGACTGCCCTAAGACAAAGGCTGATAACAACAAGAAGGACGAGAATACCTCGGGTTCCGTCCAGAGGGGTAATGTTGGAAGGGGACAGATGAGACAGGGCAGAGCATTTGCGCTAGTACCAGGAGACACTCAGAATGCTGAAATAGTGGTGTCAGGTATGCTCCTAATCCGCTCCCAAGATGCTTATGTGTTGATTGATTCGGGTTCTACGCATTCGTTTGTATCTGCTAAATTTTCCGAGAAGATTAATAGAGAACTAGAGCCCCTCGATTATGTGTTATCTGTGTCTACTCCATCTGGAAGATCTATGGTTGTTGTATCCATTTATAGAGCATGTGTTGTTGTGATTGAAAATGTCAAATTGCTAGTAGATTTAATGCCTCTGGACATAACTCCTTTTGATGTTATACTGGGAATGGATTGGTTAGCCACTAATTATGGAACCATAAATTGTGTTTCGAAAAGCGTCACACTGAAACCCCCAAACCTAGCTGAGGTTGTTTTCCAGGGTACAGGGATAGTGTCCCCACCTTACTTGATTTCGTCCATTAAGGCCTACAAATTAATTCAGAAAGGGTGTCGAGGCTACTTGTGTAGTATACTGAACGATCAGAATGGAGACGTTAATTTAGCCGACATCCCAGTTGTTAATGAATTCCCCGACGTCTTCCCAAATGAATTGCCTGGCCACTTAGTCGATAGAGAGATAGAGTTTACTATTGATATTATGTCGGGAACACAATCGATCTCCAAAACGCCCTATAGGATGGCCCCTGCTGAACTTAGAGAATTGAAACTGCAATTACAGGAATTGTTGGATAAGGGATTTATTAGGCCGAGCACATCACCATGGGGAGCGCCTGTTTTATTTGTTAAGAAAAAGGATAGCACACTCCGCCTTTGCATTGATTATAGAGAACTTAATAAAGTCACTATCATGAACAAGTACCCATTACTTAGGATTGATGATCTGCTTGACCAATTACAAGGAGCACGAGTCTTTTCTAAGATTGACCTTAGGTCTGGTTACCACCAGCTTAAAGTTAAAGCCAAAGATGTTGAGAAGACTGCTTTTCAGATGAGATATGGCCACTACGAGTTTTTAGTAATGCCTTTTGGGGTGACTAATGCCCCTGCTGCATTTATGGATTTTATGAACAGAGTCTTCAAGCCATA